CCTAGGCTTCCTATTAGGTAGGATAAGGCAACCACCTCAAACAGTTGGTTTTGGGCATGATAAAAGGGCAGATTGTTAGGCACTAAATTGGTGATTATTTGTATTTTTACCACCAGAGATGGGGAAAATGTTAATGGGATCTTTTGCCTCATGTCAATGTAACTTCACTGGCCTTAGAGATTTTGCTACTTTACTTGAACAGCACAGAGGGAGGGTCTGGCATTTGCTGCTTCATCTCAGGCAAGAAAATATCTTGAGCCAGCCTTGTTATTTGGTTAAAAAAAAAGTTTGGCTGGTCCATGGATTCTCTGTGAGCTTTCTAGTCAAGCAGAAATGGGCATCCAGGTCTGACATCATACTCTGCATAATTTATGGACACTAGGAGTTGGCCCGTGTCATCCTCCAAGACAGAGCTGGTTTTTGGACTCTCATTCAAGAGATTAACCAGTGCCATAGCTGTTTAGCTTTAGCAGTCATGCAATGCAGTTTTCCTTGTGCTTGATGCTACAGGTAAATTCTGTACGTGGATTGGAAGCAGCCAATGAGGGAGGACTGCATGCAGAAAAAGGAGTGGAAGCTGGAGCTGGATGCTCCCTTGAATGCAGGGACCAGCTTACTTGTGTGGAAAGAGCTGAGCATGGATTTGTGTCCCACCCCGAAAGATGCTCAGTTCGTTGAACCATGAAAAGAAGGATTTATTTCTCTTCTCCATGTGCAAGAGAAGAGTCCAGTGAACAGATGAAGGAGATCCTAAATGTTACCAAACAAAACTTTTAATGATCAATCTAAAGAGAACAGGAAGTTTGACAACAAAATATTTCTGTAATAGACATCTGGAAAGCACTAGCACAAAAGCACAGAGGAAAACATGAGGCTGGATTTCTGGATACTCCCTTGAGGTTTTGATTTCAACCAGAGACAGGCCAAGTGTGGTGTTCCAGATGTTGGATCATAGCTCCCATCATCCTTCACCATTGATTGTGCTGGCTGCGGCTGATGAGCGATGCAGTTAAAAAACACCTGGAAGGCTGCCTTTTGCCCACCCTTGCTCCTCACCAATATAGAACCATATACGTAGGTTCTGACTTCCTCTTTGCATTCAGGAGGGTTTCTTCAGAGTAAACCCACATGGCTTTAGACTTCTTTTCACCAACTTGTAAAAACAAGCAAAACCACCCTGTAAGGAGGAAGCAAGGGTTGAGATGTCAGTATAGGAATAAAGAACTGCCGGAAGATGTCATGAATTAACCTCAAAACCACCATGATCGTCTAACAAGAGCTGCAAAGAAGTGCCACTAAGCAGCAACACAGCACTTCCTGTTTCCCCATTGTGGCTTGCATGGCCTCTTGAATTAAAAAAACCACACCTCCTCTCTGAGCCTCTCTTTACTTTTTATTTGAAATGTTACTTTGGGGTTGGTTTTAAGTGACATGGCATGGAAATACCACCCTTCAATTATTATCACAGACTGGAAAAGCTAACTTGTGGACTACGCCTCCCAGAATCCCCCAATCAATGTGGGCCACTGGCATTTTGGAAGCTGTAAATAAATAAATAAATAAATAAA